GCGTTGCCCACCATTAAATGCTACGTGGCTGCTGGGTGGCGGTGTGTGCGCCGCGGGCAACGGAAAAGCGTGGCTTCTGTTGAGTCCAGCGGTGTGTGCTGCTGTTTCCCTTCTGTACGGTCTCCCCTCCGCCTCTTCTTTGCCGTGCAGATAAGTATACCTGCTTAAGTGACTAAACAGCCTGTGATGATGATGATGCGCCGTTCGCTGGGCGCCCTGTTGGTGCTTGCCGTCTGCTGCTGCTGCTGCTGCTGCTCTCTCGTGACGGCTGCTGTGGCAGAGGTGCCGATGGAAGTTTCGTGTGCAGGCGGTGCTGTGCGTGTGAGGCGTCCCGGTGAAAGCGGGTGGCACACGTGTGTGGCTGACGGCGTGGTGCCGTGCAGGAAGTACGCGGCGGTGTGCAGGCATGCGGCAGGGCAAAATACGGCTGTCACTGCCAACGGCATTGAGTTGGACGAGAACGATGAGCTGTCCAACGAGATAATGCCGCCCATGTCGAGTGGTCATGGCAGATATTCCTATTATTCGGGTGGAAATGAGATCTCCAATCATATTTCGTCTGAGGACCTCACTTCGTGGCGTCATCAAACGGGGAAACAACAAACTGATTTACAGCTTTTTTCCGTTCATTCACCCACTCACGGCTCAAGTCAAAATGCAGTGGAACTACCGCCGACTCCGCATTCGCCTTCTTCGACTACTCCAACGTCGCTTCCTCCGAAGGATAGTGCAGCAGAGATGGACGTGTCGAAGGTTGGGTCCGAAGTTCCTTCTAAAGGAGAACGCTCCGCCTCCGGTGTCAGTGGTGGCCAGAATGGAGTTGGGGCCCCACTCACCAATCTTTCCAAAGAGGGCACTAGCAGTGAGACGACGCCAACTGCTAATGCGCCCTTGCCTTCAGGCCCTGAAGACTCCGGCTCCGAAACCGTCAACGAAAAAAAGAAAGATGCAGATAACGTGACTGGCGGTCAGCTCACGGAGCCTGGGCAACCGAGTGCGTTGACGCAGGAAGAGAGCGCCTCCCAGCAGGAAACGCGGCTGCCAAATGCGGAGGATCAAAGTGAGCCT